GAACTACAGTGAAGTAGCAATTCTGGACTTTCAAGATGACAATCTGACAGGATTCGTTTCCTTAAAATTTTGCTGAAAAAAAACTTTTCTATTTCTTAATTCTTTTGAGGACATACATTCCTCTGATCTCTATAAAAACACAAATCCTACTGTGGGAAGTATCACCCTGAGGCAAGCGGTCCTGGGCTGAATAAGAAAAGTAGTGGGGCAAACCAGTAAGCAGCACTCCTCTATGGCCTCTACATCAATTCCTGCCTCCGATTGCTACATCAGCTTTAATTCCCGTAACTATAGACTGTAACTTTAAGTCAAGTAAGCCTTTTCCTCCCCAAGTTGCTTGTGAAAACAGTGTTTGTTACAGCAACACCAAACAAAGTAAGACAAAAACTTGGTAAATATTTGTTCTGTTTGTTCCTATTAATATCATATGGCATTTAATTTTTAAAAAGGGGATGGCAAGCTTGCATACTAGCCATGCCATTTATTTACTGAACTATACTCTAGGACAATTACTAGACCTATGTATTTCATTTACAAATTGAAAATAATGACTAACACTGTCCCAATTCCTTTCATCTGCTGTTGTTTTGTGTTCTCTTATATGAGGCTGTTTTATTGAAAGAAGCATTTAAGGGCTCATGGATAGCTTACTTGATGAAGTACCTTCTATGGAAACCTTATGACCTGAGTTACATCCTTGGCCCCCACATGAGAAGCCTGTGTGGTGGCATTCACTTTTATTTCCAGAGCTAGAAAGGTAGAGATGGAATGATCCCAATAACTCAACAGCCAGCCTAACATAATCAGTGATCCCCGGGTCCCAATGAGAGACCCTGTGTCTCAAAAACACAAGGTGGATGACACCTGAAGAACAGCACCCAAAGCTGACCTCTTGCTTCCATATGCATGTGCATACATGCACACACATACTCTCACAAAGAATCATTTCATGTTGTAAATTGATTTGTCTTCCCCTACTGTGAATGGACTCATGAGAAATGAGATAATGCACAGATCAAGGAATGGGTGACTTCTGTATGAGCATCAACAAGAATGTAATGTGAATAGGCTTTGCCTAATCTCTGAGTTTGGATGCTTTATTTACCACATACCTATAGAAAAGACTTTTAGTCTCAGTTCTGCCAAAGTGCTTGTTATTTTTGTCTTCAAATAAAGTAAGCTAACAAACTTTGAAATTAAAAATGGAATATCTTGATTATCCCTAAGGGGCTAGTATCTAAATTCAGACAAATTCAAAAGTTAAATTAGTTAATTAAGCCCAGTTATTTCAAGAATGTGAGCAGGTTCAATTCTATCTAAATCAGATGACTAGGGACTCATCTATCATCCACTTAAATTGCCAAAAAAAGAACATTTAGCTTGATGTTTTGTGTCTTTGTGCATCCTCAAAATAATTAGAAAGCAGCAAAGTGTTTTCAGCAGAATTTTAAGGAAATGAATCCTGTCAGATTATCATTCTGTTAGTCCAGAGTTTCCACTTCCCCACAATTACTGGAGTCACTTTAAATAAAAACACTACTGCTTCAAATGTGGACAGGACAGCCTAACTCTTACATGTCGTCAATCAAAGGAGTAGTTTGTAGTCCCATGGAAAGAAATCTTCAAGCCACCCATGGTTATTATTCTGTCCCCATCCTTGTGGTCTTCTATGTTCAGCTATCTGCATAATTAAAACAGCCATCTTTGGCATCCTCAGTCATATTCTGAGTCTGTAACCTTCTGAACCATACATAGTTATTGAGATTTGCGAAAGCCAATCTTCTACAGTCAGAGATTTAAAGCTTACTCGAAAGTGAATGCCATGCACAATTAACTGACAATAGAATGTATTTAAAGCCAGGATGGAAGCCAGAACATTTGCTAGTTTTTAAAATGAATACTTTGCTGAATCTGATACAGAAAAACTTTGGGGTATTCAGCCTCAGGGACTGCTCCCAAATTCATTTAATGAACAGAAACTTACATCAACAGATAATTTCAAGATTACTCCTCATGGACTATTGCCACATTAATGTAATTTTATGTAATTTTGCAGTATTCATGGCTATGTATTGACTTGTCAAAAGAATCTGGATCCAACATATGAGCGAGTCAGAAGTCCTGGTTGTAAATTCCACAAGCATGATGAGGGTGTTAACCAAAGTCTTCTCTGGCAGATTTAACCAATTTTAACAATAAAATCCAAATGGTGGATGCTGATTCAGTGACTGCTCTATGGAAGATGGCAGAGCACTATGAGATGAATGACCTGCATGTTAGTGGAATCACCTTAGGAGATGACTGGCCTTCATGTGAAAAGAATCACCTATCTATGCATTTACCCTTTGAGTTCAATCTTCACAACCCGTTTGAAAAGCCAAGCATGGCTATACATGCTTATAATACTGGTGTTGGATTCTATGAGGACATCAATAGTGGAAAATGAACTCTGCACTTATCAGTGTACCAGAAAGAAAGTACTTGTTAAATGGTGATGAGGGAAAGAACTCTACCTCCTCCCACTAAAGTTTCATTGGACCACATCTCCAGAAGGGATGGAAGTGTTTATGTGTAGTTGTGTATAGATGCTTATTTCCAATGATATGTTGCTGTAAAGAAGACATAAAAGCCTTAGTGATTATGTAGCAAGTACAGGAATGCAAAGGTAGAACACTCAAACAGAACTAGATTCAAGGTTTAGGCTGTGATGACCTAACACCCAGCCCATACCTAAGATTCAGTTTCCTATATGCAAAGTTTATGTCTGTCATAGACTGTTTAGCCCTATCCCTTCCTTTTGTCACATACTCTTCTCAATCAAGGGTTCCCAGGAGAGGAAGGGTTCATAACACTTTGTTCATTTCAGGTACAAATATGCAAGAGTCCCTTGGTGGTTCCCACACTGAGCAATGGTACAGGGAGAGGCCCAAGGAAAGGAAGAGTGAGTGTCCAGAAGGCAGCTATCTAATGCTGTGTGGGAAGTGGTTCTCAAATAACCACATACCTAAGGCTTCTCGTTTTTCCCCACCCATTCCTTGCAGACTTAAATGAACACACTGTAGATCTATTTTGACTTTTGAATTACAACTTCCAGTTGCGACAAAACCTTCTTAAAGTTTTCAGCTCATCTCTGAACTGTTGTTGTCATGGGCCACACTTGCAGAATTTGCCTCAGTTCCCTCTTCCTTGCCAAGAAAGCCCACTGCATGTAACTGTAGGCTCCCTCCTACTTCTCCCTTTGAGGCTTCTCTTTCTCGCCTGTTCCTTTTGTGCAGCCCTGGTCCCATTTCCCTACTTCCTCCACACCTTCACAGCAGTAGCCTTTGATTCCATGGGCTGTTTTCTTTCCCATGGTGCCCCTTTTATTTGCCTGATTAACCTTTAAAAGTGGTGCTTTCTGGACTGGTATCAGGGGGATAAAGTGTTTTCCACGTCAGCATGAGTACCTGAGTTTGCTCACCAGGACCACTTGAAGATACTGGATGTGGTGACACACACTTGTAATTCCAGTACTGAGGACACAGAGACTTATGTGTCCCTAGGGCCTATCAGCCAACTTACCTAGCCTAACAGATGAATTTTAAGCCAGTGAGATGTACTGCCTCAAAGGAGGTAGACAGTGTTCCTAAGGATGACACCCAGGTTGGCCTCAAGTCTCCATACATGCACATAATCATTAAAAATTAGATTAATAAAAAAGTGCTTCAGCTGGGAAGTGGTGGCGCACGCCTTTAATCCCAGCACTCGGGAGGCAGAGGCAGGAGGATCTCTGTGAGTTCGAGGCTGGGCTGGACCAACAGCCTCCAAAACAATACAGAGAAACCTTGTCTCGTAAAAACCAAAAAAAAAAATGCTTCATGTGCTAAGTTTTGTCAAATTGTCACACACTTAGACATACCTAGAATGAAGAAATTTCTATTGAGAAACTGGTTCCATCAGATTTACCTGTCATCATGTCTATAGGGAATTTTCTTGATTTCTGATTGATGTTGGGGAGTGGGGGGGGGACCTAGCCCTCTATGGGCAGAGTCATTCCTAAGCAAGTACCCCTCAGACACATAAAGGAAGCTAAGCTAAGTGTAAGGGGAAAGGTAGTAAGCTGTGTTGCTTCATGGTCTCTGCTTTAGTTCCTGCCCCAACTTCCCCTCAATGATGAACTATAACCCATAAGATGAAATAAACCCTATCCTCCCCATGTTAATGTTGATCAGATCATGGTGTTTATCATAACAGAACACAAAGTGGGTAACTTCTCTAAGGTTCCAGCCTAGCGCTACAGCTTTTAAGGGAGTGTTACAACTGAATGGAGTAGAGGGATTTCCTTAGCATTTCATTATTTCCATGTATAAGATGGGATTCTTCAGGAGGTCATTGCATGAGCATGTTCTTGAATGCTCTGGGGCAAGGTAGAAAGCAGGGCCTTCTGGGATACTAAACAAATGACTTCCCTTTGAAAATAAGTGGGGCTGAAAAGGGAGGGATGGGAATGCCATTGTTCTCAATCTCCTCAGTGACCCTCTTTGTCAGCCTGAGCTTAGGGAATCTTGAAGAGTGAAGCTACAGAACCAAGAGCCAGCTTGATTCAGTTCGTCCCACCCACACACCCACCCCCTTTTTAAATATCTTTCCCCACCTGCCTGAAACTCTGGGACTCCTCCTGTATCTCCACCTTCCAAGTTCTTGAATTACAGATGTGCACCACCATGCCAGGCTTTTTAAAGTGAGTTCTCAAAATGGAACTGAGGTTTTCATACTTCCATGACAGGACTCTACTTACTGAGCTATCTCCCCAGCCCCTAATGACAGATAACTTAGCTGTTCTGAATTCCTGTGTCCTCGTGGCTGGTAACATGGAATTTCAGCCTTACAACCAGTAGATTCACTTCGAATCAGAAATTCTATAACTCTTTTATGTTACTTCAAATCATTTTCTCTTAACTGTTTACCTCCTTCTTCCCATGGTCTTGTTTATTTGTTAACCACATTTTGTTGTTTTCTAGTGCTGCATTCTGACTAGTGGCCAAGCACGTGACATTCCGAACTTCATCCAAGGTACAGTAAGGTAAGTGTTTTTCTAGTTGACTCTTTGCTTGAAAGGGAAATTGATGTCTTGATCTATAAGAACTGATCAGTGATAAATATAAATTATGAGTTGGTTTGGGGGCAACTTAAATTTTCTGCCGTATGCATCACCTCTTTCCCTTAAAGATAATGGATTTTACCATGGTGTCTTTGCACATACATGTCATCACAATTTGTCCACATTTATTCCCAGATTGTGTGCATCTCAATATGACTATACAGACATGTTCAATTGTTCAATTGTGTCTTAGTAGATATAACACTGTGTCATTTACTTATCTGATTCAAATTTAAAGTAAAGGCATGCTATCTGAAATTGAACTAAGCTGACTTTAAGTATATTCATATGTATGTATAGAGATGATTAATAGATGGTAAATACATGATAGATGATAGGTAGATGATTGAGAGATAGATAGATAGATAGTAATTTACCTCAACAACACCAGAATGCAGAATATTTGAGTTACTAGCACATGTCTTAATTTGTACAAACAGATCACTGTACATACATATTCTTGAATAGCTTCTGGGGAGGTGGCCTACTTCTACAAATCTGCTAGGCTTAAGAACTGTCTTTGATTTATATTGTTTTTGTTCAAGTGGTCCAAATTCAGATTGTGAGCACAAAGAAAGAGCAAGATATGAGACAGCATAATTTTCTTTCCATGTTACTGCTGGCAATTTTGTTCTATCCCACAAACACTGTTAGTATGCTACCCCAAATGCATTCTTCCTTCCTGGCAAAATCTTGATGCTGTGAAGGACAGAATAATGCTTCAACTAAAAAGTTCATATCATAATGGGCATGGTGATTCATAACTATAACTCTGGTACTCTGGAAACAGAGGCAGGAAGATTGCCATGAACTTGAAGCCAGTCTAGGCTTCATGAGTTTCAGGCCAGATAGGCTGCCACATGAAATCTTGTCTCCAAGGAAAAATAAAACAGCATCCCATCCCATCTGCCCAGCACTCTTTGCTCTAGCTATTTGACACAGTTCTAGGCAGTAGACTCTGGGCAATGTCCCTAAAGAAAGTTTCCTTAAGAAGAACTGACTTTGAAATGTTTTCCTTTCCTTCTGTCTCAGGATCCTAATGGAGAGGCATAGCCTCATATTTCAATCTCAAAGACAGATACAGAACAGCCATAGGGGTCAGGAACAGAGGAACAGAAAGAGAAAATGAGTGTAAGCCTTGAAGAGACTGTGGTCACACACACACACACACGCGCGCGCGCACGCGTGTGCGCGCATTTATGCAGACTTTGTAGAGCTTATTGGGTCATCTGACACTCAGATCCAATCAAGGACCAAGCTGATTCCCAGCCTTCACACTGGGTCTTTATGCTTGACATCTGTCTACACTTAATCAGTATGATAGGTTGTGTACTTCTTTTATCTGCATTTTTCAGATGGTGAAACATCTCTAAGATGTTAATAACTTTGTCCAATCAGTGGCATTCATGATTTTTATACTTAGACTATTTGTTGACCTTTCTCCATGTTGTACTTGGTCCAGTCCTAATCTTGGCAGTATGGTGCCAGGAGCCTGGGCTGTTGCTGGTTACATTTTTAAAGCTATTAAGTAGGCCTGCGCAGCTAAGAAATACTTTGTGAATTCATGAGGTTTCCATTAGATTATTTTACTTATCAAATTAAGTAAACCAAGTGAATCTATTCCTTTCTGGGAGAAAAAGGGAAATATATGCACAAAAATATCAGGTCCAGGAGAAGGGAGATACATTGGAGTTGCCTATGAACCTGGGGAATGCAATAAATGCAGTACTAATTTCTAGCATCTTCTGTTGTATTTTGTACCTCTAAAATAAACATTTAGAAGATGTGGTCTATGTATGGCCACCAAAATCCATATTTTATCCTGTGATATCAACACCAAATACTCTCCTTCATGCAACCATTATTTTTTATTCATGTTTATTTGCTTTCAGAAAAGAAATGGAGATAGAAACTAAGTTATGTAATGAAATTTCTTTCCAAGAGAAAAATCATGCCAGGTGCTGAGGAAGGCACTGAGCTGCATCCAGGGAGGGGGCGCTGAATAATGAGGAAAATCCCTGGACTGGAAATGAAGAGGACAGGCTGGCAGGTGACAGCCCATGTCCTCTGTATAGTTTTTAAAAGTCATTTCACCTTTCCAGACCTCTGCTCTTTGTTTGTAAGTGGAGTGTAAAAATGTTCTTTCAGACTCATCACAAAAATTGTCCCTCTGATATTTAGGAAAGATCAACTGACTCCTTATGGCCTGGGATCCTTGGGTTATCAGAGCCTCCATTTTTCCTTCACTTTCCTCTTCCTTCACTTTAATGCATGCTGGGACTCTGGTATCTTTTGGCATATTCCTCAGTACTCTAAGGCATCCCACTGTCTCTCAGAAGAGGGCATTAGCTTTCTGATGGTCACTCGGCTTCCCTGCTGGTTACACAAGTCTACTCTGGGAAACCTAATAAGACCTTCTTGAACCCACCTGTTCTTTCTCATGAATGTGCAGTGAGCCCCAATGAGCTGCCACGAGTTAGCACCTCTGATAGGATCTGGTTCACCTGTTCTTGTTCCCTTCTATTTCCTAATCTCTGACCTCACTCTTTTTTTCTTTTCTTGAATGTGCCTCATTGTTTTCTCCCTTTGGGTCCCTGGCATAGCCTGCTAACACGTCATACCATTTGGCACTTCTATTCGTAACTTTTCCCTAGTCTCTCTCTCTCTCTCTCTCTCTCTCTCTCTCTCTCTCTCTCTCTCTCTCTCTCTCTCTCTCTCTCTCTCTCTTTCTTTCTTTCTATCCTGGGAACCCAGGTTCTATTCCATTTAAAACTGAACTGAAAATGAAAAAGTTTAATTTTTAAAAGCATATTAGAATATCCTCATTTTAGCATATATTGATATAGATGTAATTGGGTCACAGTTATTTATAATTTGTTGTCTCTCCCTCATCTGTTATCCTCATTCCCTAAAGCACATCCTTCTCTGTTGGAGACTTATATTTATTAAAGGTGTGGCTGTAGAGTCAGAAAATAGTGTAGACTTAGTTGCTCTCAAAGAACTTAATCACTGCTTATAAATTGCTCCAATATATTTGCTGCTTCAGTAGTTAAGAATGGAAAAGTCCTAGGGGACAATACTAAGAGAAGGGACAGAGGGACAGACAGTGGTACAAGCAGAAAATAACATAAGTTGTTTGGAAAGACCTCTTGAGAAATATCAATTTTGTTGTCTCTTTGATCTACATTGAGAGTGAAAGGTCATTTCTATGTGTATATACGAATTTCTTCGGCTAAACCAAGCACATTCACAATTAGAAAGTTGGCTGAGTGAAGACTCAAAAAGTAAAACATAGAGTTCCCGAACTGTTAATGGCAAACCCTTATCTGTTTATGGACGTAATAATAATCCATTGATGCCAGTAGTCAGTCTGTGTCAAGAGCAGATACCATAGATACTATGAGTTGAAGCAATACACTGGAAGTCAGGCAGCCACCCTGTCCTGGGTGTCTCCCAGAGAGTACAGCAAAGTTACTTGCTCATCATGCTGATTGTCACAGTGACTGTGTAGAGTAGTGCACCATGTAAATACATTGCAGATGCTGACAGGATCATGGAAACCAGAGAATGTCTGATCTGTCAATTAAGTGCTGTAGCCTCCTGCCTGGATGATAGCAATTCAGGGGCTTTCTATTTGCTGCCAATTGAGATTTGACAGCTGTTGATAAAATATTTACATTCGGATTTCAGTCACACTGACAGTACTTTTGGGTCTCTGGTAGATGATAATTATACGTTAGGAAAACATTTAAAAATTGAGACTGATCCTATTGAACAGAGCGATGTGCTTTTAAAACTGAACAAAAATCCATCCTCTAAAGGACATACCTATGATAAAGTCAGAACAAGAGGCAGGGAGGTGGCTGAGTAGGTAAAGTGCTTGGCACCCGAGGATGAAGAGCAGAGCTCAGACCCCTTGCACTGCTGCAGAATTCCATGCATAATGGCACATGTGTTTCATTTCACTTCAGTGAGGGGAAGATGGAAACTTTCTGGCCAGCCAGATCATTGAGCCACTCTCTCAGTAAACAAGGTGCAGAATGAGGAAAACACCCAACTTCTCTTCCTTTCTCTCAGCCCTATTGCACAGAAAACAGTACTTGCTGTTTTTGAAGAGAATCTGGGTTCAGGTCTCAGCACCCACATGGTGGTTCACAAGCATCTATAACTCCAGGTTCAGGGGATCCAATGCCTTCTTCTAACTTCTGCAGGCACCAGGCATGCATGTGATGCACATGCATGCATGCAGGTAAATATGCATGAACATAAATAAAACAAGTATTTTTAAAATGAATAAACACATCTTTTTTAAAATTTTGCAGCAATGCAGTCATAGCAAGCAAGAGAAACCGGGTGATTACTTTCATGAAAATTCAGGTTTGGAGGTTTTGTATGGTAGTTTTTAAGAAAAGAAGGGTTTTAAACAAAGTTTCACAACACAGAGGAATATAATTACAGTTTAAGAGTAGCAGGAGGGTTCTTGTGCTCATGATGAAAAAGTTGTGGAAATGGACTTGAAAATTAAAGTCATGACCCTTATTCCAAACAGCACACATGCGAGGCCAGAAGAAACCTTCACATCCCATTGAAGAAAGCCTTAAGGGAAGCTTGTAATGTGATATAATGAATGGAGTGTGTGTGTGTGTGTGTGTGTGTGTGTGCACATGCGCAGGCATGCGCATGCATGTGCAAGTGTGTGTGAATACCAGTGCATCATAGGGAAAAACAGGAAATTCAATGTACACAATTTCTCATTATCCAGAGGTTGCAAACCCTTTCCAATTTCAGCATGTTCTCTGAGCAAGACAGTTATTTAATTCTTGCTGGGTGTTCCTGGGACATGAGAGCTAGGTGACCTGTATGGATGCTTTAATAAGCAGCCTGTTCCTTTGATGGGCTGAAAATCCAGTGTGATTGATGGT